TCTCTCTCTCTCTCTCTCTCTCTCTCTCTCTCTCTCTCTCTCACACACACACACACACACACACACAAACACACACACACACACACACACACAAACACACACACACAGAGGAAGAGAAACAAATTGAGAGACTGAAGTGATAAACATGGGCAGGAGTGAACAAAGCAGGGAAAGAAAGAAAAAGAGAAAGAAAAAGAAATAAAATGATAAGAAAGGGAATCTCGACGCAGATCCACCTCAAAGCACGGACCGATGAGGCTTACATGGTTAAAAATTTCGTTTCAGCGACACCAGTAAATCGTCAATCTCGATGGCGGACTGATCGATCATTCATTCAGAAATACTCAGACGTGCAATCGCCGCTCCGATGCCTCGATAAGAGCCACCCACCACAATTTCCCAGGCGGCGGGGCACCTGGGCGAGCAGAGTCGAGGAAAAGAGAGAGGGAAAGGGAGTGAGAAGGGGAGGGAGTGAGGGAGTGAGGGAGCGAGGGGGGAAGAGAGAAAGTAGATCTGTGATTGGCGGGATGGTCCACTTGTAAACTGAACCCAGTGGTATGTAACGTGAGACCGATTCCCCCGACAGCAACAGACAACGTGAACGATGCAGGCGGGAACGTGGTCGGCCTTGATTCAGCTTCAAAATTTTCTATTCTCTCCCGCCGCTATGCCAGGTTGGGCTTTGTTCTGCGACTCCTTCAGGTCGGCGGGAGAGAGGTTTCGTCCTGCTGCCCGCATACGAGGAGGCGCCGTTTTCCTTTTCCGTGTTTGGCCACGTGGAGTTCGCTCATGACTCCCGCCCCCGCCTTCCAAAACCGTTTCTGTGCCCGCCAACGCGCGACTGATACGAGCGGGTCAGAATCCTCCGTCCATGCGCTCCACTGACAAGCTATCACCCCTCCCAACCCCCATGAGAAAGCTACTACGCAATAGCCCACAGCGAAGATCAGCATGGGCCCTGCGGAAGAACGAGGACCATAGTAACTGGGAGGGGCAAGTTCCCCTTCTTTTTCTCTTTCCGTCTTCTCTGAATACCCCTAAAGGTTGAGATATAAGCCAAAATGCCCCTAAAAGATCTGTTTTCGGTCGGGATAATTTGTGAATACCCCTATAAGTTAAGGTATTTCCCAAACTGCCCCTAAAAGATCTACGTAGAGCAGAATAAATGTTTTGCGAAATGCCCCTGGGATCGATTGGACCTGTCATCTTTGCAAAATACCCCTACCGGGCACTATCCACGTTTGCCAAATGTCCAGGTACTTGCAAGCTTTTCCCAGGCCCTATGTATTTTCGTTTTACCTCTAGTGGCCCAGGTATCTTTGCATTCTGCCCCCTTGCTGTGTGTGTGTGCATGTGTGTGTGTGTGTGTGTGTGTGTGTGTGTGTGTGTGTGTGAGAGAGAGAGAGAAGGGAAGCCGGATAGCAGGATTGTAACGAGCGTGAGGCTGAGGGTGAGCCGAGGGAGAGGAGAGAGAGGGAGAGAGTGAGAGCACACACACACACTCACTCCCTCGACACGACGGACTCGGACTGAGGATCGGACGCAGACAAAGTGGCAAGGCACAAAGTCGAAGTCTTGGATTCCCGAATGCCGAAAACAGCAAGTCACACTGAGTACGAGTACAGCAGCAGAGAACTGGTACGAGACTCCCCCCCGTACCGTACGGGGAGCCGGTCATAAGTACCGGTGACACGTACGGTACCAGGGGCATTTCTGCAAAGGCCCCGAGGGCAGAACTGAAAAATGCAGTATTTGAAAGTGGCGCCCGAATTGCAGCATGGCGCCAGTTGTCCAAAATCCTACGGTACCAAAAGGAGGGGTTTGGAAAAAGGGTGCCAGGCCGAAAATGGGATGCAGCCGAAACAGCAAAAGATAGACCAGGGATCGAGCCCTGGCGAAGTCCGTAACAAGGATAGCGGGGCGGTGTCGGGGCAAACACCCTGACAAGGGTATTTGCCGAGGATTTCAAACGTCAGACATTGTCCGACTCTTTCGTTGAATTGAAGGACTCGATGAGACTTACATTTGTCAAACGTTCATTCAGACTGACCTATAATCGAGAGACTGTAACTTTTAGAAACCTAATCCGGACACATGCAGCGCCCGAGAATGATAGCAGTAGTTGGCAGTTTTTAACGAGCCGCAGAAGGGCGTGGATGTGGAAACGCTAACGTTTAATCTATCCTACTTAAAACAACAGCAGCCGCACAATTCAGGGCCTAGACACTGCGATACCAATAGCCACGTTATGCTTGCGGTCGCGGCGTGACGAAATAGAGGTCGTAAACGCCTAAAATTGTTTATCTCTTTAGATATGTGTGCGGGGCTTGGTTTTGTGCCGAGGGTCTGAAGCCCCGACATTGTGACCTACTAAGTTGGGTACTCGTCTGGTTGAAAGACGAGCAACTGGTCATGTGACAGGGGAAGATAGGCGGCGCCTACCATACCACCAAAGGGCGGCCCTCTGGGGCGCGGAGCTCTTCATAAGGAAGAGCACTCCTACTTCTTTCGAAGTAGGAGCTAGCCCTGTTGGTAACGTGTCAGCCTGATGTGTCATGGATTCATGGATCGAGACCAGCATACTGAAGGGCTAGTTCCTTTTGATGGAGCAGCCCATAGAAAGGAGAGTTCAGGCGCGACCGATTTCGGTCGTGAGATCGTTGAGATCGCGTGACCGAAATCAGCCGCACGAGATTGAGTATGATCCCTGCGCAAGGATGACACACATAAATCTAGAAAAAATCCAATTTGTTTTTCGATCCCGACTGAGATTCGAACTTGGGTTTGTATTTCAACAGCTCGTGGATGTGCCACGAGCACGTGATATGACTGTTGGTTGTGGTCAAACAGAAAAAAAAAAAAAAAAAAAAAAAAAAAACCTCAGAAGTGACTTGTCACCTGGCGGGTAGAGAAGTGGTAGAGGGGCAGAGCCTCTGAAGATGTCTGTTTTAACAGGCAAACGTTTCATAGAAGAGGTAAGTTTTTTTTCTTTTATTTAAGTTTTTTTTCTTTTTTTCTTTTTTTTTTAAGATTTCGGTGTAGATTCTTCTTTAGGTTTCTCTCCCTTCGTTTTAACGAACTGCGTGAGCGCCCGTTCGTTTTCATAAACAGGCTGCACAACTCACTAGCAGACAGGGAATCTCGAACGAATCTGTCCCCAAAATAAAGACGTATACACTGCCACGCTTGTGTGCTTGTGTGTGAAAAGAGAGAGAGAGAGAGAGAGAGAGAGAGAGAGAGAGAGAGAGAGAGAGAGAGAGAGAGAGAGAGAGAGAGAGAGAGAGAGAGAGNAGAGAGAGAGAGAGAGAGAGAGAGAGAGAGAGAGAGAGAGAGAGAGAGAGAGAGAGAGAGAGAGAGAGAGAGAGAGAGAGAGAGAGCAAGTAGGTCTCCAATCTGACGGTGGTCTCAGGTTACTTCCATCGAGATGATGAGCAAAATCGAATGACTCTTCCACTAGAACATGAAAATATGCACTCCCACGCATTTGCCTCACCCTGTGTTCTACGAGTGTGCCCGTTCGTTTCGATGAACAGGCTGCAGGCAACCTTAGGCGAGTTTGTTTTTTTTTTTTTTTTTTCGTTTTTCATAATTCTTGTTAGATTATTTTTAAACTTTTTATTATTATTATTATTTTTTCTCTCCTGCGGGATACCCCCCCTCCTATTTGTTGGAGTGCAGTTGTTGCACCCGTTCATTTTAGAAACGGGTTGCAACACTCAACGGCGTGCTTGACCTGGCGCAGGTTGCGTTCGGGTACTGGCGCACGAGGTAAGGGGACTAAGCCCCTGTTGAGTTTGACTCTAGTTCGTCTCTGTGAAATGATTGAGCCTGGAGGGTCGGCCATTCATTTGAATGGCGGGTTGAAGAGGAAGGTTAGGAAAAAAATAGGAGAAAGAAAAAGAAAAGAAAAGAAGAAAGGGAGAAAAAAAAAAAAAAGTAACCGCCGCGAATATGGTCGAGGTCACGAAACAGGTGCAGCCCCAGAAGGTTCTAGGGGTTGATGAAACTGCGCCTCTTCGTTTTGAGAAGGCAACAGTAAAGTGACTGAGTACAACCATTTCCAGGAGCACCTGACCTGGGAAAATGGCCAGGTACTTCTAGGGGTTGATGACTTTGGTTCCCCTAGGGGAAAACCAAGGCACTAAGCTCCTGGCTGTTGATTTAGATCAAGGGCCAGAAGCACTTACAAATTTTTCCTGGATGTGGGCAAAGCAGTTGCCACATGCCTTTGGCTGGCTATAAAAGCCTGCTCCCCACCCAACAGCCTCATACTTGTGGCAATGTTGCTGGGGCATTCTACTTGAGTAGACGCTGGCTGGCTGGCTGCTGGTGTCGTGAGGGAGTGCTAGCGAAGTGTTGGAGGCCTGCAGGAACACTTGGAAGTGAGGAGCGAGGCAGCCATAACCGATGTTGAGGGCATTCTGCCTCAGTGTGAGGCTGGTGCTGCACCTGTGGGATTACCCCTGGGACCTTCGTGGAACTAAGGCTTTGTACTAGACTGGTTGTAGCGGTGCGGTAGGCTGAACTTCCCTTTGAGTAGGGTTATGCTGCAGAAGTGCGGACGCGTCGGCGCTGTATTTTTTTGTGTGAGGTTGGGGAAATGTTGTCCGTTTAACAACAACAAATTGTTTTATTTTGTGGGGCGGCATACTGCTGGATTGTTGGCGCGGTGACAACAATCAATTTTGTGGGGGAAATGCTGTCAGTTTTACTACACGATGTCAATATTTTCTTTGTGTAGAGAAGTGTTGTCTGGTTGACGACTTGTCAAGCGACACTATGTTCGAGGGGCAGTGCTGCCTAAATTTTGCATTGCAGTGGAGCCGTTTTTTTTGTGTGTGATTACACGGTGGTGCCGCACGGCGACGTGGTTCCTTATTTGACGACGCAGCGAGCGATGGTCGCGTCATTGTTTTTTTGGTGTGTGGCAGCTATGGCGGACCAGCATGATATAGAGGTTGGACTGACGCTGGTGCGTGGTTGGGATTGTGCGGCAGTGGTGCATGGACCGGTGGCATGAAGAGAGTGCGGAATGAGTGCACGTGGCAGTAATTATTGGGTTCGTGACATAAGCGGTCTTAAGTCAGGGCCACCTTTATTTTTTTTACGACGTGCAGTGTGAGCAGTTTTGAGTTTTGGACCATCTGGTATTGCGGGCGATGGTATGTGACCGTCCGGAACCGTCTAGGACCATTTTTGGAACCAGGTGGGTCTGGGTTTCAGATCGGGGCCGACGCGTTAGCTTGATTATTGTGAGCAGGCATGGTGATTGGAGGCGGCGTGGACTTGCGATTGGTTTGGTTGGGGAGTATCCTTGATGGTTAAAATACAGTTTGGATTATGTTGGGACAGCTCGAGACGTTGGGGCCGGTCTAAGCAAGGGTCAGTTTTGGACATTATGACCACGTGAAAACTCATTTGTGGGAACACCCAGGATTATCTCGCTTAAGTTTTTTTGTGGTCCAGCCTCTGCTTATTCGGGTACTTGGAGAAAGAGGCAGATCATGATATATTGGGACGATCACAACTTGTGTAGTTGTGACCCGCATATTGTCAACTTCAAAGATGATTTTTTTTTTTTTGATTGAAATACTACTCGACTTTCTTGAGTGAGCCGATTCAAACATCACTCAAGGTCAGTTACTTGATTGAGTCAGACTTCCCTTCACACCTGTGTGAACCTACACTTTGCTTGACTCTGCTGTTTTGAACGTTTGAAAGAAAAGGTAGAGGAAAGTTGAGCGAGTCATGCATGTGAATGGAAAAATATGACTTGTGTATGCGAATGCATTGGTTTCCTTT